TAAGAAACTTTTAAAATATGCTAAAGAGATTGCCCACCCAATGGAATACCTCAAACACCAGGAAAACAAGATACCAGCTAATTGAAAATTATGAAACTTGGAGCAAAGGTCAATGTTATATAAAGCAGCAGTCTAGCTACGTTACATACCTGTACCCCCCACATATATGGGTGTGCCTGGGGGCTTGTTGGCAAATATCCAGGTGGAGGTATTGGAGAATATGCCTAAAGGAAAAGAAGGGTTAAAAAAACATGAGAAAGGATAAGAAGTAAACCGCAATGCATATCCAATAGAGAACCATGTAAACTTGAGGCTTAACAAAAAGAACCTGAAATCCTGACCATTCAGGATTAACAATGCCAGTGCTTGTGTTTGGAGACTCTTCCTGAAAGAACACAAAAACTATACAAAATTTAAGAAGCAGCCCTGTAAGACAATTAAATTTGAAGGCTAAATCTCTCAAGATATTGGAAACTTTAGAAAATCATGTCACTAGCCTCCATAAGATAGAAGTTTTGAGTGATAAACTCAAACTTCATTTTGATCAATGAAGGAATAGAATGTTAGTGAATCAAAGATGTCTAAAATTTTTAAATGTCTGGGTATTTGAATCCTAGTAACTGTGAATCAAGTTTAATCGTGTTTGTTTTGAAGAATTTATCCACAGAAATTTTTAATGTTGGATAATTGTATATGCTTTGCAGGATTTGTCTTTACAAATATAATGAAATTGCCAATTGTTCCCTTGGTGCTCCTATGTTTAAAAAATTTCATAAATAAAATTATGGTTTAATTACAAGTTTAGTTCATAAACTTTAAAGTTTGTGTCTATTTGGTACTTGAACTTTAAAAAGTGCCTAATAGGTTTTTGAACTTTCAATTTTATGTCTAATAGGTCCCTTAACTTCAAAAATGTCAATAAGTCCTTGAATTTTCAATTTTGTGTTTAATAAGTCACTAACATTTTAAAAAAAAATTTAAAAACTAAATAGCCTAATAGATATAAAATTAAATTTTATGCTTAATTGAACTTTAAACTTCTAATTTTGTGTCTGGTACATCCATAAATTTTAAAAAACGTCAAAGAGGAGAAGGACTTATTTAGCAAAGTTGAGAGTGTAAGAACTTATTACACTTTCTAAAGTTCAGAAACCAAACAGAAGCAAACTTGAAAGTTTGGAGACTAAACTTGTAATTTAACCTAAAATTAATTCATATGACATTAATAAAACATACAAGCAGACCTGTGTAGTGGCAGGCGCAGACTTGGATTCCTCCTTCGCTGATTTATTTATCTCACTGCCACCCATAATTCTCTATCAAATAGACGCCTCCTTCCAACAAAAAATTGAAATGTCCTACATTATAAAGAACGTAAATAATATCAGTTGTTTTTGCCCCTCATTTTCACAATAGCAAAGCTATATGTAGTCCTAGTCTTACTTTCCTTGATAACATAAAAGATCGAAAACAAAAAAAACTCCTCTTTCTTCTTTTCTTCTTCTTTTTTTTTTTTTTTTTTTTTTTTTTTTTNGGTAACATTTTCATCATCATTTTTCTCTGTTTATTGAAACTTTTTTTGAAGTTTTTTTTTTTTTTTTTTTTTTTTTTTTTTTTATGAACACTATACTCAACCCAACAAATAGAGGGAAGGAGAAGCATCAACCTTACAGCCAAAAGAGCTTTAAAAAAGCTACTCAAGTTGGCTTGAATTGAACCTACCTTGTCTAAGCCATCTGGAAGCGAAAATTCTCCCTCTTGGTTTACATTTTATGAAAATAAAAATTTGGTGTCCATGTTATAGATGTAAGTACAAGGGATTCAATACTGTCCTTAAGCCATACTTATCTATTAATATGGAAGCAAAACATATATATATGCATACATGTGTACATGTATAGTGTGCGTGCATTGTTAGCTTTTTCCAAGCTTTCTTCTTCTTTTGCCTTTACTCCATCACTTCATTTACACTCGAGACTAAACTGACAATCTGCCTATTGGAGATAAATGATGACCAACTTGAAGTGACAAAGTTCATTTAGACCTTTTTTCACCGTATTGGGTCAACGGCTAAACATACACACGAGCTTATCCAATGAAACTGAACAAATTTTACTCTTTGAAGGAAAGTAGTGGCTTCCACATGCTAAGGACAAAAGAGTGGGCCACACATAAAAAAAAAAGCACCCCCCCTCCACACACACACACACACACACACAAAACAAGAGGGTAGGTGATGAATTGTTGATATAATTAAATTTACTATATCCCATCAGCTTGGTGATTTAACATGGTATTAGTGTAGGAGGTCCGATGTTGACCCTTGTAAAGTTGTTTTGGGGTGATATAATTAAATTTACTATAACCTATCAGCTTAAAACTTTTGGGTTGATTGGTGATATAAAAGGGAAAGTGAGATGAAGGAACTCAAGTTGTTTAGAATAAAAAACAATAGAAATCACGGAAAAATTGTAGATAAAACCCAAAGGGAGATATTGGAGTGAGCTTCCCTCTAAGTCTCTTCCCAAGATTTCTCATGACCTTGAAATTCCCATATTATTTTCTAACCGAAATTCCAATTAATGCAAGTAGTAAACGCACTTGCCAGAGAAACTGCCCTCTATTACAAAGGGGGATAGACAATTAGCTTGTCCATCATGTCATCGTTACTCCAGCTCAATATCGAACTAACATCAAAAAGCTCCAGAAACTTCCCACAAAACTTCAGAGCAAAAGGGTAAATCCATAAATCAGGTCTTCCAATGCCCATTTTGCATACAGGACAACTTCCATTAATATAATTAAAAATTAAATCTGTCAAAAGTGAAGGTGGAACATCTGGAAAACCTGACTAAAGAAAGATAAAGATGGAGACGCATAGCAAGAATATAATGGATAAATGGAGGGAAAAGTACTTTTTTCCCTAGTGTAGTTTCAACCGGAGGGAATTAAACATCGTAATGAGATTCAATAGTAAATTTGTTGATAAGTCATTGAACCCACCCAGATTTTTTCAGAACCTCTACTCCAAAGGGGAAGAGATCAGTTACATTTCGAGTGATATAATTGGGTTCCCTTTCTATATTCAACAATTTCAATATTTCCTGTCTGATTGCAATAAATATGCTAATCTCCATTTACCATCAAATTTTATGGTCAAATTAATGAAACAGGGTGGATGGTTACCTTCAGTGATTCCGATAAATCCAAACAAATAAAACCAACCATAAAGCCAGATTTTCAATTCTTTCCGGATTTTGGGCATACTAGGAAAAAAAAAATAAAGAAACTAATAGACCGAGGCACATGATTGCAAGCAGAGATCAAGTTAGATTTCAAGAAATCGTTGCAAGTATGCACGAAAGTTCAGCTATCACTTAACATTTTGTTCCGACTACTGCCAGTTTAACACGAAAAATAGCGAAGTTGATAGAGAAATTCAGATAAAGTTCAACGCAACAAGCGACAGATTTCTAAGCTGCTAAATTGCGAGAAGAGCATCTCGTGACCAGCAAAAGTGATGCAAAGAATAATCAGAATATACAGAATGGCGTAATTGGGAGTAGAACTTACGAAAGTTGGAGAAATTTGAAACAAAAAATTCTCAAGCTTGAAGATTGAAGGCCTTGAGCGCTACCAGAGACAGGATTCCCGATAATCCACGGAGCAGAGTCCGGGATTCGAACCTCGACGGACGTCGTCGCTGACGTTTTTCACTGTTTTCTGGAGAACGTGTGGAAAGATTCGAAACCCCTTTTTTATTTTCTTTTTTCTTTTTCGAAACCCTTAATTAACCCCAATGTCTTACAAATTTTCACGTGACAACCTTTGTTTTCCCCGCGAATCTGATGGTCCGAATTTGAACCTGTGAGCTGGGCAGTGAAGTCTTTTTTCTTTAATTTAATAATTAATAATTATTAGTGGAAATTAAAGTATTTCTTTCGAATAATAGTTGCCCTATTATACCAATGTCGTCACTATCATCAATAATCAAACCCTTAAGCTTGTTCTCTAGAACCTTTTTTTTGAAGCATAGTAAATTTCTCGTACGTGCTCAATGTGGCTGTTGGACTACCAAGCACTTGTTCACTGCTCTTATCGTCCTCTTAGTTAATTCCACGCTCGTTATCCTTATTGTTCACTCTATTGGAGTCCCATGACTATAACCTACAGTAACTCTAGCTCACAACCACTATGATTGAAGTAGTTCGACAAATGAGAGGGGCAAAATAGTCATCAACACATTTTTTTTTTACTGTTTCTTGTCTAGTTGAATTTTAATGCTGATTGAATATTTACGTAACTCAAGCAGTAACATGCTTATCCATTTGGGTATTGTTAGTTCGAGTATTAATATCTTCATGTAATATCGATATAACTGTATTCTCTAATAACCATTAGATATAAATTCAAATCAGTTTATATGATTTTAATAGCTCGTTTATATAAATAAGAATTAAATTTGGAATTTCTCTACCGTATATAAAATAGTATTAAACTATCAGCTACATTGTGACACCTTTCCGACAATGTGATGTTTCGAGCATCTTATGTTTAGTAGTCATACTCATATCAATTTGAATATTCATTCTCTTAATTTTTATTTATTTATTTATTTTACTTTAATAACTATTTATTTAATTTTTTAAATTAGGCGTATTTTCTCATATTTTACTCACATTAATTTTTTCAAAACAATATTTTAGTTGTAAAAAAGGGCAAAGTTTATAATTATTTGATTTTTTTTTTGTCTTAATGGAAATTTAAGGCCTAAAATGGTTATTAATCCATTTAGATTAAATTAAATCGTATTTTTTTTTCTTAAAATTATTTCGATACTTTAAAATAATAATTAGAAAATTAAATATTCATAAAAACAAAAGAATAGAGCCTTCTCTTACGTCATCTCGAGCTTAACGCACTCTCATATCGTTCAAATTTACGAATTAATTAAAAATAAAAAAATAAAATAAAATAAAGAGAAACCCTTAAATAAACCCGGGAAGCCTTCTTCTGTTTCTCTCGTCTTCTTGCCTCCATTCGCACTTGGAGAGCAACCATCCGTTCGTTCTCCCAAAAGCATTTCCGTTCTTCAATCTCATTCTCGTTTGCAATCCCGAAGCTCGCCTTTGTTAGGTTTGTTTTGAAGTTTTTCCTAATCTTTCTGGGCATGTTTTCTTGGTTTATTGGTTTTGTTGTTGGTATTATTGTTATTTTATGCTATTTACCGCTCTCCTTCCCGCGATACCCAATTTTGTTTCACCATTATCGAATGGAATGTTGAATTACGGATGTTTTTATTTGGTTCGCCCATCGCAAAACGCGTCACTCAATATCTTCGTCTCCGATCGGTTGCGAAGTTGTATCTGTTGCGGTTCAGCTTTGATCGAGATCAATTCGTGTTTTCTCTCCTGACGAGCGTGTTTACTGCTTCATCTATTTCTGCGTGCAATTTTCATCATCGTCAATGGGTTACGAAGACAATCCGTGAGCACTTGACATTATTGAATTAGGGTTTTTAAGTGTGATTTGTTTCTTTTTTTGTAAGGTTTTTGTTTGTATCAGGTACCGTGACGAGGATGGTGAACCATTGATGGACTTTGACCATATACAGTCAGACGGTGAGCAATCCCCTGAACCGTACAATCCTGACGAACTATTAGATGAGGATATTGGTGATTGGGGTGGACGGCAGCGATCTCAGACTCCGGTCTATGATGCGGAGGAGCCCCAGGCCAGGCCTAGGAAGAGGTTGATCAAAAAGAGTTTGGCTGGTAAGGAAACAATGCCCTCTAGTTTGGCGGACGATTATGATGATGCAGCGGGCCAGTTTGTGAGGGAGGGATCGGAGGAGAGGAAAAGGAAGAAGGGGATAAGTAGTGAAAAAATGGAGAAGAGATTCAAATCTGAGAAAAAATTTGGAAGTGGTAGCGGAGGCAAGAGTAGATTATCCAAGAAAGCCTTCTCAGGGAAAGGGTTGAAGGATCAAGATGGGGATGTCAAGGAGATGTGGGAGACTATTGCTGGTGGCGGTTCTGATGTAAGAACTCTGCATAATTTTTTATTTGATTTTGATTTTGATTTCCCCCCCCCCCCCCCCCCCCCCC